TAAGTCAATGTAATGTCCCCTGAAGTGATGTATACATGGTATGTGTGTGTGTGTGTGTGTGTGTGGCTGTAATGTTACTGTCTTTACTGCTGCATGCATGATGTAAAACCATCCTCTGACACATTGTTGTTATTTGATTAGCAAAAAAAAAAGAATAGAATATCGTTCCCAGTTAATGGCCAATGAGCTGACAACCGATGTGTTTAAAGCGTTGGCTGATAAATCGCTGCATCTCTTTTATTATAACTAGTTTGTGGAGAGTAGAGGATGAAGAAATAAAAATCTTTGTAGCTAAAGATTACAGATGTGTGTGTCCCTATATTCAAGTGTACAAATCTCTGCAACACAGTCAACTCACTTCCTGTAAATCAAACTGTTCGGATCCAAAACTAAACTCCCGCTGACGATGTCAAATGTGTTAGTATGTGTGTTAAGCATAGGCTCCCCTAGTGGCTGAAATATGTTACAGCATTACTACGTCTAAAACTGTGCCAATACAAATATTTTGTATATCAATATTTTAATAAGGTAGGAAACTGGTTAATAATATTGTAGCATGTTCAAGTAACCAAGGGATATAGTAGTTATCTAGTTATATGTGTTCGTATGTGGAAAAGTCATACTCAGTGCGGTGAACGCTGGCTTTATTGCTACTGTATCCGTAGCACCCCACGCAATAGTTGGGACTACTGACGTCAGTAAAAAAGGTTTGCCCCCTCAAGCGCAAAAACTCCGCCTATGAGATTGGAATAAATCTGAAGACTTACACAAGACTAATAAGAACATTATTAACAGTTTCTTTCAGACTTTAAAAATACCTTTCCTCCGTTCAGTGTGATTCAACTAGGGCAAACAACTGTACCTTATGTAACCAAAGTTAGAGTAAACTCAAACTAGCATCTCCAGCATTACTTGGGCAATATACTGATAGGATCCAAAAGAGTCCAGACTAAAACATATTTCAATCCTTTCTCGGAATTTATAATTGAAGGCAGCAGAAGTTTATACCTAAGAGATTCACTAGCAGAAAATAAGGATGGTCATTAATTATTGCTGAGCCGATCATGCCTGAGAGACATTTAAAGACATCGCCTTTGATTTTGTAATTTTCTTTTGCCATTTTATTGACCAAATGATTAATCGAGAAATGAAAAGGCATATAAATCAAAGAGGAAATCTACCGTTGGTTGCAGCCCTCCACTCTAGGCTCTTTCTGTAAATGTCTGATCATTCACAAATAAAGTAATTCATATTCACGTAGAAGCCACCCATGCAAAGAATGTCACTTAAACATCCTGTTGAAAGCCAGCAGAGTAATGTGAATGATGTCTGAAAGGGATTATGATCCCGTGCACCATCCTGTGTATTTAGACTGTTTATATTAGTTATAACATTTAGCTTTTGTGTGTTCGGGAGTGTGGGTGACTCTGAGGGGGGGGGGGGAGGTGACGCTTCCACACTGCGGTACAAAAAGCAGTTGGAAACTGTAAACGAGAATGTGTCACCGCTCATTCGCCTCGTGTGGGTGTCGCTGACAGACGAGAGTTGCTTCTTTGCTAATAAAACCTCCTACGAGTGGGGGGGGGGGGGCGCTTTGATGCAGAGAAAGAACATGTCAGTCAGTCACTGCATTAAACACTCACCAGATTATAAAGACGCCACACAATGTACATGTCAGCCAAGACATGAGTAAGGGGTGTCGCTAATTACAGCCGAGTCGTTTCTGGGGTAAGACCAAGAAAATCAGGCTGAGTGTTTCATACAGGTAGTTCTGAGATATTGTAATAAGCTGTTACTGAACTCTGAGCTTAATTAGATTTTGGTGCTCCAAAACTTTAAAAACTGTGGACTGGATGTTTTTTTTTCCCGAAACAATACCCAAGCACTAGTTGTTTCCCGTTTTCATATTCTAAAGCTTTCTACCACATTACATGTTAAAGGTGGGGTAGGTAATTCACTTCAGAAACACTTGTTATATTCCCTGGAATGCTCTTAAAGGTAGGGTAGGTAAGAATGGAGAAACCAGCTCGAGTGCGCTAGAATTTGAAAGTACGCAGCCAAAAAAAAATCTGCCCCTTCCTTCAGACTTCCTTACAGAGCCCCTCCTCCAACACACACGAACGCGCACATGACCAATGAGGGCACGAGATAAGTTTGTGCACAGATGGAAGGCTGACAGGCAGGTAGGCCATCCAGTTATTTTAGCCGGGCCGGCTAAAATGATTGGTCATGCTTTTTACAGCGCCACAGCTTCCACAGATGACATTTTTTTATGTATTTATTGTCAAAGCATTTATGTATTCATTGCTATCGGGATGTTAACAGAATATTGAATTTGCTCAGCTGTCAAGGATCTTTTGATTTGCAAACTCTGAATCTTTTATGATTTTGTCCATAGCAAATGTTACAAACATTTTGTCACAATTTATTCTGTTTATATTAGTAACTCTTAAATGTAAGCCCTTTATTATTAACAGTAGAGCGATGCAACCGTTTGAAGAAAGTACATTGTGGTTCATTTTGATCTTCCTATCTGATTTACTGCAGGGTGCTGAATTAAAGTTCATTCTTGACCTTGAAAGCAGCAGCTTGACGAAGTAAACTAAAAGTCAATTTACTGGAGCTTTTTAAGTCAGTAGACCTTGAGTCGGGATAGTTTTTCTAAAGGAAAAGAGTAAGTGCTCTGGCGGGAAACAGCTACCAAGCGTAAGGTCCAATTTGAGATGTCACCTTGGACTCTGTAATTTTTTGATGCATTTTGAGAGCATTTTCCACTGTTTTCTGGCATTTTATAGACTTAAAAGATAATTAAAATGACAATTTGTAGTCTTTATATCACGGTATTCCAGATGTCATTGGGAAAATAACTGTTACATATCTGCACAAAAAAGAGAACCTGTCTGCAGTGCCATTGTTGTCTGTCACTATACTTTAGAAAGTGACGATGCTGCCATGTTTTGATGAAGTGTCTCCTTGATAAACAACTAATGGACAACACTTGTTAACAAGAACCATTTTTGCAGTTCTTTCCTCAAGGATTCAGTGAATCATTCTTTAAATGTCTTCTGGAAGAAGGCTGACAGTTCACCACAGGCTGAACTGGAGACCCCCCCCACATCCACCCACACCCACCCAGCCTCCACAGAGCTCTGACATCTGCACCTCCTCCAGTCACAGACCACTGGAGCGGAAACACATGCAGATCCTTTCCTCCACTTGTCTCATAGATTTGAATATAACTACCAAGTTATGTTTCCCAACAGAGGGGCTTCCTGTAACATGTAGTTATAGAAATCCCACTGTGGGAGGGACACAGATACCCTAAAACAAACCTGTTGGGAACCAGGTACCCAATAATATCAGGACTGCTGCTGAAAATCTTCACCTGTTTCCACTGAAAACCTCTGAATGTAGCACCTAAGGGTTGGCTTACTTAGAGCAAATTCAGTAGCACTTATGAAAGCGAAGTACCTACAGCATCTTGCTATTTTGAGTTTTTTTCCGTCATGGTTGAATGCACCCATTGAAGGTTGCTTTAGATAAGAGCATTGGCTAAATGTGCTGTAATGACCAACACTGCAAGTCCCAGAGACACGACCTGACACATCTCTGTCTGTTTATCCTGCTCGTATCCACACATGCACGGCTGCTGTTAATAAGCAGATGGCCTTACGTTAGAGTCTGATGAACCCAGAAATAATAATGAACGCCCCCCAGGCTTTCTAATCTAATGAATGACAAACTACAGACATGCAAATGCATCTGAAGTAATGTATTCGAACCAACTGTTTCCACCTGACTCTCCACCGTGCATCAATTGGTAGGTTTATGATGGAGATCCCTCCGCGGGGCAGTGGTCTGCGACTGGGATTAGACCACTGGTGACAAACTGAAAACTAAAATGCCAGCAACATATGGCGCAGGGGTTTATGGGATTACCCAATTAACAAGGTGACTCAGAGAGCTGCTAATCTGCTAAATGTTCCGACCTATATGGACACAGACAGTGACGCATAGAGGGCATCTTTTCAGCATCCAGCAATTAAACACACACACACCTCATGTGTGTACAAGCAGTCAGCTCTAATTGTATTAAATGAGGATCCACTGGGTGTCTGGGACAAACATTCACTCATCCGGGCAAAAAAATGTGCTTGTAAAAAGTGAGCACGTCACGCTGTCAGTGAGAGCTTCATTAATTGTAATTATCCTGACATAAAGTACGCCGCGAGCACAAACACCACCTCAACGCGAGCTGTCAGATCTGCGCGCAAATCAAAACGCGCGCTGCAGGGACGTGACGCACAAGTGGAGTCCGCGAGAGGACACATTTACACACAGAGGACAAGCCGGATACCGTCCGTAAGAAATAGACCCATTTATGAGAACTCATTTCAAACATCTTTCAGCTTTGGTGATGTGGAAAGTGACAACTTGGTAGTACAAATATAGATTTGAGCATCCTTGGGTCTTAATATTCCCGAACAAAACCAACATGCTCCACTCTCCGGAAAATGTTTGTGGTAAATCCCACATGCAGATAAAGGCTATGTATTTTGTATTATAATCACACGTAATTCAATTAGACCGATGTATGCTACTAGTTAGACATGTCAACTATTGTACATAATCCGTAAATAACTGCAATACTTAGAGTTGTACTACTATCACCTGCTTTCACACCTTATACATGCTACACTAATTTAACAACAAATACGGTGTTACTGGTACTTTTTGTTGTCAACCTGGATGTGTATTTTGCACATTGTAAATAATTGTGCGATTTCTATAGTTATCTTTACTATTTAATGCATGCCTCTTAAATAATATTTCGCTATTTATGGCTTTTTACTTTTGGTGTAACCATGTTACCACCTTTCCCCTCTGTGGGACGATTAAAGGTATTCTGATTCTGATAATGTTCCCAAAAGTGAGCATCCATCGCATCCCAGCCTGGATTTATCCCTCTGTTTCTCTGACTGAGTGAGGATGCTTCTTACCTTCAGGGAACTCATTGGGCTGCACCACATACAGGAACGCCTGCACCAGGTGGAACAGGATCCCTATCGGTCCCGGTTCGTAATGGGCAAGAGTCTCGTAAACTCCTGCAGGAACATAACCGAAATCCAACTTTCCCGGAGGAGGGAGTCTCCGCGGCTCGGTTTCCAGCTGGAGTTCTCCGGAGGCTAGAAACACGGCCAGGAGGAGCAGCAAGACCCCGGTCCTCCACATCGTGCTGGGGTCAAACCAGACCTGTAAACTGGGGTTAAACTGAAGAGAGAGATCTTCCTTATCGGAGAGGAAGAGGAAGAGGAAGAGGAGGCTGAAAAGTGTCCGGGTGGATCTCCCGCAGCTTTCTAAGTCCTGCTGCCGGCGGAGAGGCTCCTTCTGAGCATCGTTTCCCCGGCTGAGGCTCCTGACGGTCGGACTAACCGGGTGATCTCCTCCCGTCTCCGGTGCTCTGCGGTCGGTCCTCCCGAGATGAGCGCGCCTCTTCCACTCCAGCCTCGGTGCGCACGGGGCTGCGCTGCGTCACGGGAGCGCGCCTCCGTCACTTTACACCGGGGAGGAGGAGGGAGGGTCCGGGGAGGGGGGCTCCTCCTGCCGGGGAGAGAGGGCTGAGGATGTGCTTATATCTGATAAAATGTTGACATACTCTTATGTTTGAAAAAATAATGGTGGACATTGGTTGATAGTAGGCTAACAAGTATTTACTCAAGTAGCCTACTTTTGATAAATAAAGTGGAATTCTTTGCCGAATGATTTAAAGGGCTGTAAGAACATTTTTATGTTTAAGAACATTTAAAGAAACATACTACATAATTTACAAAATAAAGAAAGCGTAATTAGACAGTATGAAGTTCACTTTTGATTGTGTTCTGTTTTATGTTTCAGCATTTGTAAGCAACTGTGACTGAAATAATATTGCTTTTATTTCATTTTTTTAAATTGTTTTTAAGAAGGGGCAGATAAAATAAGATGTTCTTCTCTGCTCCTTTCAACCATGCGCTATAAAAAAAAAAAAAAAAAAACAGTATAGGCTAAGTGTATATGTTTTGTTTTAAAAATAACTGCTATGTGTAGAATAAACAAATAAATGCAGTTTAAGTACTTCTACTCCTGCTACCTTTTTATTACCACTAGAATCCAGAGGCAGATATTATATTTTTACTCCGCTATTCCTTTGATAACTTACTGTTATGATTTGTGGAAAAAGGTAGGACTCAAAAGCAGAATACAAAAAAGGCAAAAAGGTCTAGGAACAAAAAGCGAGCTTTATTTAAAAAAAAAGAAGCTGATGAACAAATCATGGCATGAAACAAACAGGTAGCACACGGTAGCAACAAAGCAAAAACTGACCGTGACCAACATGGAGGGAGACAGGAAAGAAAATGAACCGACAAGGAACACAGGGACTAAATACAAAGAGGGGTAATCACAGGACAAGACACAGCTGGGCAGGGGAGGCAGAAACACAAGGGCAGCAGGTGAACACAATCAGACAATCAGACACAGGAGGAAAAACACAGGAAGGAAGACGAGACACAGGGAGAACAGAATTTCAACATAAAATCATGACAAGACAGACAACTAGATTGTGACAGTAAACTAGGATTGTGACACTTACTTTGAAAATAATTCATATTCAAAAATGAAATACTGCATCGTGTTACTTACCATGTATTATTTTAGCACATTAAGGCAACTAAATCATTATTAATCACAATGTTATATATAATATATATATATTTATATATTGTTCTGAAAATAGGCCTTTGTGCAGAATAAGTACTTTTAGTTTCTGTACTTTAAGAGTAGAAACATCACTTTTAGTTTGGTAATATATAAAACGCAAATCTGAAGAGTTACATTAAATAAAGTGAATCATATTTTTCGTATCTAATGAAGTAGAAGACTAACATGGTTATATTCCCAAAACTGTACTCAAATACAGTTCTTGAGTAAATGTTTTCAGTTACGTTCCATCACTGCTTGACCATCTTGTAAGTTCTTCAATGTATTTACTTCTTACTCTGCTTCATCTATCTGTAGTTTCTTTACAAAACTGTGCAGTGGTCCTCAGGCTTTACAGTATTTCACTTCCCAAAAACACACTACCTCTCTCCTCTCCCATCAACAGGTGCTCTGTATTCAGGACCCTCGACCTCCCCGGACAGAGGACACCTGAGGAGCAGCTGGAGGAGCGCTGTGATTGGTCGAGCCGTGGTCAGATGGGCTCTGCTTCTGTCTCTCTGCACAATAACATCACTGTCCTCTGCAGAGCGCGGGGCCCCGAATCCTGGAGACAAGGGGCCCCTGTCTCTGTCTGTAAACCTTTGATCAGCGATTGTGAGCACCTTTATTCACTGAACACACACACACACACACCCACACACACACACACACCCACACCCACCCACACACCCACACACACACACACACACACACACACACACACACACACACACACACACACACACACACACACACACACACACACACACACACACAACTCATTAGAGGGGCAGATGGTTCATGTGCTACCTAAACTGAGGGGGTGATGATGTGCTTTTTACATCCTGCTATTAACAGTGTATCAGGTACCAGTAAAACATAAGTGTGATGAACAAAGGAGCAACTATTGGACATTTTGAGGAATAAATTACACTTTAAAAGGGACAGTTCACCCCAAAGTATAATAAATAATAACATTTCCTCTTACCTGTAATGCTATTTAAGTCAGAAACAGCTTTATTGCCAACTAGGTTTACACACACAATGAATTTGTTATGGTGTATAACGGTGAATACATTAACACATTAAGTGGAATTAAGTTGTAAAAAAGGAACACACATATAACTATTATACAATATATAAGTATTAACATACAAAGAAGTAAGTACAACAAGAATCTGATAAACCACTCCAACATACACAGCAGTAAATCAGAACATCAGATTGTTCTGCTGTGAGTTGCAGAGTGTTGGAGATCTCTGAATTGGATTTTAATCGTCAAGGCGCCAGAAAATACCGTGGAAAACTCAACAGTAATTACTGGATTCTGCACTGATAACGTTTATCAAGTTTTTACTGTATGTACTGTTTTAATAACCTAGTTTTAGTAGGTCTAATTATTACTCCCTTGTTCACCAGTCTTGTTTTCTTCTTCTGTGTTTTAGTAGCCGTCAGAGGCGATAAGAACCTTATTGGTACTTATTCTATACAACACTATTACACTGTAAACTCAGGAAATTGCCAATGCTTTCTCTCCTCATTATGTTTCAAAGCAATCTGCATTTAAGGGATTGTTTTATTCTCTTAATTAGTTCCTGCTGAAATGTATCTTCCTCTGCATCATCACTGTTTTTCTTTTTGAAGTGAGATCTTTCTGAGCTCATCCTCAAAATCTGTCCGTCATGCTGGACCCTCTCCAAGTATTACTACTCCTCCTGCAGTACTTCCTGTACGCTGAAGCTGCTCTCAGTGTTCAGCGGGTTGTAAGGAGATTATCACACTGAAGAAGTCTGCTGCAGATTTACTCTCCCTGACCTGAAACTGCTCAGCTGAGCGTCTCCGCCTCGGGACAGGTGAGCTCCTCCATGGAGTAAACCCCACTGACTGCCAGTAATAATATATATATATATATATATATACATTTATAGCTGCTCTTTTTGTCCTCTGTTATTCAAGCCATGAGCAGTAATCCTGTATTTGGTACTCTTTCTGAATCAGGAAATATGTAGAGTTCTTTAGTTTGACTCAATGTACACTTACTAGTTTCATCTGAGGTTTTCACAACATCACATGTGAAAAGAGTCAAGGATTATTTATAGAAAGCCAAAACATAACACAAGTAATGTCATCAAATGTTTTAATTGAGCGTGTCTAGTCCATGGCCGTTTCTCAATGTCGAGTAAAGCTGCTGCAGAGCCACTATTTCAAGTATACTACGTCATCGAGTGGCGCCGAAGGACAGTTTAAATGCCCAGCATTCGGCGCCACTCAATGACGTAGTATACTTGAAATAGTGTCTCTGCAGCAGCTTTACTCGACATTGAGAAACGGCCCATAAGTCTGCCTAGGCAGTAGGTCTGGACCAAATGTATTTTTTTCTTTTATATTTCAGATTTTTTGGAGGTTATCCAATTAAGATTTGTAGGTCTGTTTTAGGATTTGTTCACCCTAAAGAGCAACTGAAAAAATCTTCAGACAAAAGCCTTAATTAAAAAAGAATTTCTCTCAATATTCAATGGATTAAATAATAGCTTATATTATTAAATGAACTTTCTCTAATGAATTTGCGATAACTCCTCAGTTACATCAACATAAACTAGAGAATGCAATTCCTGAAGAAATTGCTAGTGGGAATGCTTTATGCTGAAAAGCTGACGCTAAACTGCTATGCTGAAATGTAATGTGTAAGAAGAAAGTGAAGAATTTAGATTGAAATGATACATGAACACTGGGGGCTTGAATGTGTGATGAGAGAAGAAAAGAGAGTAAAAAGACTTGGAAAAGCAGCAGAATATTTGAACTGCAAACGTTTGAACTAACTTGATGGCGAATGATCTGTCGCCATGCCAACGGCATTTGATGACATCCCATAATACGCTTATATGCGTTGATGGCTGCATCGTTACCAAACCTGTGAAGTTTTGGGCCGTTTGGAGCATTTTCACTGAAGTTATGAGAAAACCGTGTTTCATGGCGAGCATTGTGTTGCCATGGCAACGGCATTTGAAGAAATCTCAAAACTGTCCCGTAGATGTCTTCACGGCTGGACTGTTAGCACACATGTGAAGTTTGAGCACTTTTTGAACATTTTCATAGGAGTTAATGTATAGCGACATCGTCTTTTATGGCGAGGGATGCGTTTCCATGGAAACGGCATATGATGACACCCCATAATTGACGTAGATCTGTTGAGGGCAGGACCATTAACCATTATCTGAAGTGTGCTGCTCTGAGCATGTCAGTTGGAGTTATGACATCATCGTGTTCCATGACACAGGTGTTTATATTTGAGCTAACGACGTGTCCAGAGATCAAAGGTTTCCATGGTGATCAGTGAGAGGAGAGCATTTTCATTGTTCTGAATGAGAGATAAACCTCTTACATGTGAACGTTTTGTTGAAGAACCGTAACAGATATCGGTGACATTTCAAAGCGTGAAGCATGTCAAGGAACTTGAGCATCTGAAGTGTACTTCTTGTGTACTTTCGGGTTAATAATGTGGCCTTTTTGGCAGATTAACTAAAGGTGTGCGGCTGCTGTGGTGGGGAAAGGTGAGGCTGAACTTACAATCGGGTTTAATGGAGACATGTTGAACGTTTTTGTCACTTCATGCCCTCAAGAGGCATTTTGTTTAATTATTTTGCTTAATTTTTTTTATTTTTCAAGCTACAAGATGTTTTCCTACGTTTCTCATGAAAAATTATGTCTCAGGAATGTAGGGTTTGGGAATTAAGGCAGGTTTAAGAGAAAATATGAAGGCAAAATTAAATCTGTCCTCCACTCTAGCTGTGACATCACGCACTCTAAAATCTGAAGAAGGCCTCTTTACCAAGGTCTGAACAATGTTTAATATCTCTAAAAGTAAGAATCAGATTTAAAAGTTGTGTTACACGAATAATGTCAGAACGATGTGTAACATTTTAAAGTTGGAATGAGGTTTCTGAGTGAAAGTATGAAGGAGCAGTTAGCAGTTGAAGAAGGAACAGTTAGCAGTTGAAGAAGGAACAGTTAGCAGTTGAAGTTGCATGAAGATTGTTCAAGTCTGAAGTTTCTCCATTGACTTCAATGGTTAAAAATGTGATGTATTATGGGATGTATCTCTGGAATTATGAAAGTTATGAATGATAAAAGTAATAGCCATCGATTCCCGACCGAGCTGAACGTTTTGATGTTTGAACAGAGTTTCTGCGATGTTCAATGTGGGAGAAGAAGAGGCGCAAAATAACCCGGCGGAATAATAAAGAATTTTGTGCGTAGCATAACAGATAGTTGGAATGCTGTATCAGCATTCCCACTAAATAAATAACTAGACGACACAATGGTTGTTAAATAGCTGGTTTTCACTTAATAAAACAAATATAGTAGTTTCCAATTTCCACATTTGTATCCGATGTATTCATTTAGTTTGTCTTTTTGTGAACTCTGAATGTTGAGGATCCAGACAAATGGCTCTGACCGATTCCAGACTGCAGCTGGGGAAGTGAGTAAAACATCCTGAGACTGAAGTTAAACTTTAGTCGTGGTTTCACATCTGTAGTTTGTTTCATCGTGACTCCAAACCGGGAAGATAACTAAACCGCAACAAGTCTGAACACAAACTCAAACGTCTTATCTGATGATATGACTTCAAAGTGTTAAAACCAAACACTTGTAAAACCAACTTTTATTCAGTCAAAATTGGGCATTTTCATACAATATTGATCGAGGTAGGAATTAAATAAGGATCCAAACAGAAGAAATAAAGCAGGCAGTGTAACGGACCAAAAACACACAAAGCTCTGAGGAGAGTTAAATATTATTATATCACAACTGCAGCTCCTAAAATAGAACAATCCTTCTTATTACAATGGTAATAATGAACATCTCTCCAAATGAACTCTTAGCATGTGTTCCTTTATATATAATCTTTCTGTTTAAAGTCAAATCTGCTCTTTACATCATGACAGCAACTTCAAAAACATATGACTGTGTTGGATTGTGTTATTAACAGAGCAGAAAAAACTAATTAGGACATTTAGTGACTTCTGCGTAGATTATTTAAAATATTCTTTGTTGTTATATTTATCTGTATAGTTTAGCTAAAACTACTGCAAAGTGTAACCTCGTAAAGTCGGCATGGCACCAAGCGCTCTGTAACGTACCATTATTTATTAAAGCGGATAAAAAAGTCAGTTTTGAGACAAACTAAATATGTGGCTGCTGCTGGAAATGTATGGCCTCAAAGTCAATTGTAAAACTGTTTTATAGATTTGACATAGCAATAAAAGTTTCAGTCGTAGCAAATCAAATGTAAAACACACATGCAAAAAATAAAAAGGCATTTTGTTTTGGAAATATTGCTTCTGTTTTTCTGAGATGTAAACATTAGAACATTACTCCAGAGTCAAATGAGAAACGTGACCCGTCGTATTTAAGACAATACGGTCCATCAGTGCAAACACTCGTCTGTCAGGAATCGGCGTTGTTTCTTTCAGTCTAAGTGAGATGGTTTCTGATCATCTGGAGTCTAACATACTGAGCGGTTTGAAGAACAGATTTAGTGTCGGCCGCTTCTAATCAAACGGCAGCTTCTGTTAGTTTTGTACTGATGATGATCCTTGAGTGACGTCATCTGTAGGCTGTGTGAAGGAAGGGCTCTCACTCACTTACATTACTCCATTTAAACATGTCGGGAATAAAACGTCACTTCAAATGATTACGGCCTGAGTGGGACTGGGGTTGTGATTTCTGAGCTGAGCGGGTAATAGAGCGAGCATCATATATATATATAAGATATAAATATATATCATATTATTATCAGTGTGTGTGACTGCTCAGGGATCAGTTTTGGCTTGTGACCCAATAATAAAACAATAAACGTTGTGGCCCCTATTCATGTGGTGTGTACAGTTTGTGACTCATTTATTAAAAAATAATTCGTTTATTTTTCATGTGAGAGCAAAAATGTGAACTTTTGCAGTTATTAAAAAAGGCAGACATTTTGTTTTTCTTTCTGGTTTCTTGTTTTTTTTTTTTCACTCGTAACTTCCCTAATGGATGTAATGACACTTTGTGTGGGTCACAAGCCTCAGGTTGGGAACCTTCGACTGAAGTCCATTATTATCTTTCCAGTACTGAGCCGAATCCAGATGTAGTGGACCTCAGCGTCTGACTCCAAAGGCTCGGCTGTTATAATATATAGTTTTAAAGACGTGGTTATTTCTAATTGTGTTGATGTATGATGACACCTGATGAATAAACTTGTTGAGTCAGCTGATAAGGAAGCGCTTACGAGTGAAGAATGATTCAGGCGTTTCCTTTAATGTCAGAGTTTGTTTTGCTGAGCGATCCGAGACGTTTCTCTCTCTGCTCTCAGTGCTGCTCAGACAGGAAGTGCTCTCACGCTCACACACACCGTTTCTCACACACTCTCACACCTGCACACACACTCCTCACACTCCTGACAGTTCCTCCTGAGCTGCTCGGTCTCTCTGCTGAAGTTTTCTTATAAAACTTCTCGACACTTCCACAGCAGCAGTATTGTCTCATGTTCACAATAACTTTCTGTCCTGCATCCTAATAAATACCCCTCTCTCTCCCTCTCACTCCCTCTTTCTCTCTCCCTCTCTCTCTCTCTTTCTCTTTCTCTTTCTCTCTCCCTCTCACTCCCTCTTCCTCTTTCTCTCTCCCTCTCTCTCTCTCTCTCTCTCTCTCTGCTGATTGGCCGGGGGCCGGGCTGAGCTGCTCCGCTCTCCGTCTCCCTGAGTGTTCCTCGTGTTCGTCGCTCCGCTCCTCAGTCGATGCGGTTCCCACAGATGGTGAAGCGGTCGATCTCCAGCAGGTCTTTTTTGGGAGTCCTGTGCTTCAGTTCGCTTGCTGCTGCCTCCTCCTCCTCCTCCTCCTCCTCCTCCTCCTCTTTGGAGAGAGGGGGTGCAGGGGGTTCAGGTTCAGGGGTGGGAGTCGGGGTGCGGGGGGGTGGAGCAGCGGGGGAGTGGTCAGCAGGTGGGGGGGGAAACAGGTCAGTCCTGGGGGAGGGCTGCGTGGTCACAGAGCAGGAGGAAGGAGGGGGGGGGCTGCAGAGGGTGACGGGGGCCGGCTCCATCTTAGATTCACCTGTAAGGAGGAGAGGAAACAAATGAAGTTATTTAGAGCTTTGTTTGGGCACTTTTGTTTGCATCTATTTAATATATATATGCATATATTTTCACCATATTTTCATCTGGTTTATGTTTCTTCCCCCAATGAGCTCTGTCTTAACGATCACATGACGTTTTTATGACAAACTATACTATGAAGATTTGAGCAACACCGATGAAGAAACTCTGAATTAAGCTTTAAGAAAATATAGGAGAATCACGTTGAGGGAAAGAGGAGGAATCTTTCAGATCATTCTGAGAGAGAAGATACAGTCTAGCAGAGGGTAATGAGCTGTCGCCTGAAACAGGAGAAGGTGTTCTGGTGATTCAACCCACCCACCCACCTAAACACACTCTCACACACTCTCACACACACACCTGGTTCTTCTGCATTATGTTGAGAGGAAACACTGCAGAGTCATTTTAAATATGAGCACAGTGAAATGCATAAGAAAAACCAACCAATCAGAATAATTCATCACATCAGAGACCAGCCCTGGATATTAACATGGCCGTCTGCAGAGACCAGCCGCAGGTCTCCAAAACCTCACTGTAGACAAACTGAACCCACAGATATGATACTGCAACGAGAGGTTCTTTGAATATGGTGTTAAAACTATTTCAAATATTACCGAGGCTATAAAACCAGACAACTGAATATTAGAAAACATCAGGTTTTGTTATTTAATTCCCTTTGGTTCGCCCTGAATAAATCAACGGTGATGAAATTATAATAATGCATGCCTGTTGATTTCCTCCCCACTCTCCTCTCTACGTCTTCATTTGCTTGAGTTTAACTTTGATTCATTTCCGAACGCCAGGATGAGACAAAAACAATATTTTTGTTTACTAGCGAGCATTAGTGGAGCCCGAGCGATATCTCTCAGAAGTGATTTAGGATCTTAACCGAGCTAAAAGAACGTACACTGGTAAAATATGATGCCAAATAAATGCTTATATATATATTAGCTAGTGGTAACGGTTCTCAAAATTAAATTTGATAAGTGTTATTAAATGACAATGATCTTTTTGTATTTTTTAAGTCCTTAAGACTGCATATTACACTATATATAAGAAATGTGTTTTCAAACTGCAGGAACGCAGCGTTGTCAGCGTCTCCTCTGGAAGATACGTGATCTTTAATAAAAGTTAAACACCATATGGGGCTTTATGATGGCTGACGTGAAAACCGCTCATTACCCATCATGCCCTCTGGACAGAAACATGCAGATGGCTCGTCTCATGTGTGAATCACTGTGAAGACATGCAGGAGGACGCGATGAGAGCATCAGCAGGTGAAGCTGCAGGCGCAGAACGAAGCTCTGTAATGTTACACAGTGAACATGTGCTGAGAGGTGGCTGGTTCGAGTCCCAGCAGCTGAAGTAGTTCTTATTAAACTCTGTTTGTTGGAGCGTGGCGCCCTGAGCCGAGTAGCAGCTGCTTCTGAGGAACACACAGACGCTGTGGAGCTCTGATGGGACGCTCCGTCAGGGTCTCTGTCCTTTAAAGCTCCGGCTCTGCGGGGGATGTGCCCTCGGACGACGAGGAGATACTGCCCCCTGCTAATCTGAGTGTCTGATCGTACCTGGGTGTGTCTGTGAGCTACAGGGACGCTTTAACAGTTGGTCAAGAATCTAAATAAATGTTAGTGAGGAGATTCATATGTAAATACTTGAACGCTGGAATTACGGTTTGATCACTTAATGAAGTCTGTCATAGGAAATCATTTCTAGGACGTCAATGCTTCTAAAGACTGCTACGACCACTACTCACTATTACTTTCATAATGATTACAATGATTATTATTTTCTTGTTTTATCATTTGGTAAATAAAATACCAGAAATTGTTAAGGGAAAAAGCCCTGCGCAATTTATTTGAATGTCTGGAGCGACAGTCCAAAACCCAAATATTTAAGTTAACTTAAAAAAGCTGCAAATCCTAACGTTTGAGAAACTGGAACCAGGTGACGTTTTGCTTTAAAATGACATTAAAACTGATTGATTACCGAATTGTTACCGATTTCCTTTCCGTAAATTAAATAATGGATTCATCTTGATGTTATATCACTAAAGGAACACTTGCTAAAAACCTAAAACTATGCTTTCAATTATTATATCATGATTCCTGTCAAAAACATCTCAAGTAGTATATATATTTTGGAGGTATTAGATGATGAAATGTCACCTGTCGTCACGGCAACATCTCGATAATGTTATTCAACATTACCGATTACATGCACCAGCGTTTCTGCCAGGGGGGCGTCTTGCCGTCATTTGCCGTCAAAAAAATAAATAATTAGATAGAAGATTGAGTTTTTATCGCTTGAAACGACGAAAAGGAAAAAGGACAAGGACATCCCTCTGTTGGAGGGGCAAAGGAGTCTGGTGGGATTATTTTCACCGCCAGCAAAGCGTGTTCCTGTGACGGAAAGTGTCCTGCCGGCGAGCCTTGGCGGGGTTGTGGCGCACGCGCGTGAACTGCGAGCGCCGGAGCCTCGCAGCGGAGAAACTTTGATCAAATCAAAATGGTGAACGTTTGCGAGGTTCAGCTTTGTGACAATTTACTGTTTTTGTCTATTATAACTGAATTATAATATTTTTTAATTGGGCCAATTATATTATGCATTTTTTCCAACATTAAATAGAAAGAATAATTGTAAGTTTCAGCACAAGACTCGAAACTAAATGCTGGCACATTTTGATGGACTTCAACAACACTGCAGAGAATGATCATAAGGTTTAAATACTAGGTATATAATGGCTTGTTTTGTCAATCTGTGGGAAACAACATCAAATTAGTTTGAACCTCTCAACCTTTTCAATCAAACTGCATCAAACAAGTTATATTGTGATTTCCAGGTAGACTGAAAGGTCAGAAGTTTCTGCTCCACAAGACACTGAGCTCCTACCTGCTGACAAATCTGTCTCCGACGAGTGTCAGCTAAACGCCAGAATGTAAATTAAAATGTCAGCTAAATGCCTAAACATGTTAATATAAACAGGATTCTTCTCGAGGCAAGTTTGGTCAAATGTGCTGCAAGAAACAGACGTCACATTTAAATATTATTTACATTATTGTTTTCTATCTTATTTTGATATACAAACAACCACAGTGCTTTGTTTTCATAGATCATTATAAGCCATTACTGTTGTGTTAGAGAGAGTACGTCAAAGTGCAGAGACATAGGAAATATCCAGCGGGAGGCAGAGAGCACCGGCAAATAATTCATAAGAAAGATTAAATCCCAGGACGTCTCATTTACTCGATTCCTGAACACCACACGCTCTCTCAGGTCTCTGCACTTTGCATAACTCCAAACTAGGAAGCTGCCTCTGCAATCTGTGAACATATTTCAAGCTGATGCTGTGTGATTAAAGGCTTTTGTGTAATTCCAAATAAAACACATGAGGTATTCTCTGTCGCTGCAGCAGCTTCACAAACTGAGAAACTTTCCTGTTGATGTCTGTTCTGCTCTTTGTGTTTTTAGAGCCAAAACCAAAGTGTCGTGTTCACGCTGCATAACGACCTGACACACACACACACACACACTTCATGTGCCTGTACTACGAAGCCGGATTTTTGCTTAGCGAGGTAACTTCAGGGAAAACTCTGGGTTTCCGGTCCTACGACGCTGGTTCACTTCTTACCGGGCTAGATCTCCATGGTAACTTATGCTGAACGGCTAGCCTGGTCCGGAGCAGGTTAGCCGTTCAGCATAAGAGATCAACTCAGTGCAAGCACCGCCTGCTGACCAATCAGAGCTCAGTGTGCGGAGTGTAAAGCGATCAAGTCATATTACAGGAGAAAGGAAATACAGAAAAACTGCCGTTGCAGGAAAGACGGCCGGCAAAAATCTACTGACTGTGTGAACGTGAAAATTAATAGAATATCCCCTCCCATCTTCAGAGCAATCTGACTATTATAACATTAGCGTTAAGAAAGCTTACTTAAATATCTGCCACAACATAAGTAACCGGATCAAAGTAACATTACGTACAGTCCGCGGCACTGTGAGTGCAGACGTCGATGTGTCCCATTATCATTCATATCATATCACATCATAATGTATCATATATTTCCTTATCTGAGTCAGCTTCTTGAGCCGTATCTGGCCGTGCAACACTCACAGTGTCACATACTGTATGCAGAAGTATTATTTTAAGCAACACATTAAGTTGACGAAACACTCGAGTCAAATGTAATTAAAGTCAGATCCACTCGTGTCTTAGACGGGGCAGTGATATCATAAACCTGTTAATGTACGAATTCAAACACTTTTTCTTTTACCAGCTGTATTCACCTTGCAGGTTTATCCTGGATAAAGTGTTTAAGTCATGGATGTTTAAAGTTTAACGTCTTCATATTTGTCTAATATTATAGTTCACTTTTCATTCAGGAAGTATGACGCTGCGCTGTCAGTACGCTTGTCCATGTTTGTGATTGGTCAAATGTTGCTAACCCCGCCCCTTTCATGTGAACGCGCACTCAGCCGGACAAAGAAACCCTGGCTTGAGTTACCGAGTTGATAACCAGCGTCGTAGGACCGCTTAGCGAGAGCGCATTTGTTTTGGATTAGGTAAGCCGGGTAACTCAAACATATCCAGGGTCTGTTGAACTGGATTCGTAGTACAGCACTTTGAATTGCCTTGTGTTGAAAGGTGCTATATAAATAAACTTGCCTTGCCTTGCCTTACAGGCCTCAGCTCTCTGAATATTTCATGTCGAAAATATATCTCATCTCAATGTCTAATGTGCCAGCATTTAGTTTCGGGGTGTTGGTTAAAACATGTTTCTGATTCAAAACAGATCTTATGTTAACAGCTAGGGACTTATTGGAAACTATTTGGTGTGTTATTTAATAAAAAGCAGCTACACGTAAACGGGCAAATTGACCACGATCAAAGAAGAACATAATCCTCCAGTATAACAATTACAGATGTATTGATATACTGCATACACTGTTTTCCTTGAGTTTAAGACCCCGATAGTTTGTGAGGTTTAGCATTGGAGCTGCAGAAGTTCATCACTACAGGTGACGCCTCTCACATTGTTATTATTAAAAGTAGTAGACTGTTTATGTGATTTAATTTGAGGGTAATGCATAGGTTGATGTTAACAACAGGGTCAGTTTTATTAAAGTATTTGGTGTTTTACCTGGAGGAGTGGGACAGCTGGCATCCGCTCTGCTCGGGGTTTTACTGGAGGAGGTGGAGGAGGGTGGAGGGGGGGCCGGCGTCTCAAACAGTTTGTCCTCCATGTTGGCTCTCTTGACGTAAACACAGGATTTCCCCAGCAGCACGATGCTGTTCAACACTTTGAGAGTCACCAGCCTGGAGAGGGAGAGACAGCCGGTTAGAGAGGGACACTTCTGACGGGAAGTAGTTAACAGGAAATAAAACGCTTTGCATTTCTTCAATAACTTCTCTGGAGCTTTAACAGTCTACAACAGTGGAGAGAAGAAACAAATAATTATTTATATTTTATGTCTCTTTCTTTTATGTCTAAAGCAGGGGTGTCAAACTCAAATACACAGTGGGCCAAAATTTAAAAATGGGTACTAGTCGAGGGCCGGACTGGTTCAATGTTTATTGCAAAACTTATTGAAATGAACTTATTGCACATATTAAACCTGGAACTACCACAGCTTAAATTATTGCCTATAAAAACAACATTAAATAATCAGTTGCATTCATTTCTTATGGCTCTATCTGCAGCTTCATTTCTTATGATTACATTTGTCCACAGGCCAACAACAGCTTCAAAAAAACAATGTCCCTCAAAGAAAAAACCAAACATGCTCTGTTGTCTCAAGAAAGAAAGTGCTGAAGGAAACATCCATGTAAACTCAGTTTGCTGCTCTGTGATGCTAGTTCAAGCCAGATACTTGGCATCTCATCTTGGGTGCAAGGTCATCAATGTTTGGGGTCAGGCTCTGAGCTGAGGAACTCCTCAGGATTGAGTGAAGGTGTGCGTGCAATATACCGGCGGGCCAGATCTAATAGTAATTAGAAATTATCCTGCGGGCCGAAATTAAATCCACCAAGGGCCTGATTTGGCCCCCCGGGCCTTGAGTTTGACACATGTGGTCTAAAGTATATTGTACGTTACATTGTTGGAGTTGCCTGGGACTTATGAGAGATTTATATTTCCAACAATTACGCTATAACTATTTTGCCATGACAATAAAGCCTTTGAATCCTTGAAGCTTACATGTATTTCTGTCTATTTTTTGATAGCAGTTATGATTGGTGGAATTAATTAAATCACAGAATAGTGTGAAAAACATTTTTACATTAGTCTGCTTTTGTTTAGCAGTTTGAGCTTCTGCTAATTATTTGGTTGATGGATTAGCACCAAGCTCTGAATTTTGGCGCAATTGAATGAAAATACCAGGGCTGTCCCCGAATACCATTTTTCGGGCTCCAGATATTCGGTAGTAATCAGCAGCGAGGGGGGGGGGGTGCGTAGTAATCAGCAGCGAACCGCTTCAACACGTGTATTTCGGTTTATTCACGGCATTCATTTTGTTATTCTACAGTATTGTTGTTTTATAGTTATTTGTTAATGTATATATAACCCAATTGGTGTTCTTTGAAATTGAAAAGGATATTGCATTGTGTTTGTTACTTTCGTTGCAGTTGTATATGTCTTAAGTGTAATTTGGCTTGGCTTCCTATTTTGTATGGACATGCTTTTATTTTGAAGGAGAGTTAGCGCTGTTGACAGGAAGTTGTTGTTGCTATGGAAACAACGTGATGAAGATTAACGGAGAAAAGTCATATCTACATATAAAGACGGAGAAAGTAAACGATAAAGTTTATAGTTAAGTGTTAGCACCCCCCGAAGAGGCACAAGCTCTTACGTTGATATTGGAGATTTCAATCAATTCAATTTGGCAGCCGCGGTGCAACAACAAAAACGAATAACGAAATTGAAACCCGAATAGTACTCCAACGAACGAATATTCGGGTACAGCCCTAGAAAATACACAAAAAAACCAGGAGTATGATTGTAGTTATAACTGAGCAGCCTCCCTCCAGTTACTCAGAGTGTTGTTGACCCGCTTCAGTTTAAATTCATCTCCTCTACCATCTGGTTTCGATCGCCACTGCTCACATTTCCCCTCTGACACCCGGATGTTGAAGTGCACCATCCTTTATGTGTTTCTTAGTTTTGCTATGAGGCTCAACCTCTGACCCGGGACTCTGAGACGGACACATTTGGGTCTGTGGAGCACCGCTCGCTGTGACTTCAGTGTTTCAGAGCGGGAGCGAGTCAGTAGGGCTGAGGCTCTGCCAAGGCTCAGCGCTGTGATGCCGAGTTATTTTTAAATCAGGGGGTGGGGGGGAAGGCCAGAGATGGCACTGGAGATGACAACATTGTATTCTTCCCCCTGAGGGAAACTCTTCAATGGTACGAGCCCGATGGGATCCGGCAAACGAGAGTGAGCGAGGCAATCAGAGAGAGGACATGAGGGCGCAGTGTTAATACTTATGTAACTGTGTGTTTATAACTGAGCCTGCATGTGTCACTGCGACTCTGTGAGCACGTCTGTATCCTGCACAGAACAGTCTCTGTGCATGTTTAACAAGCTAGAGTTAACAAAACATGCATATATCTACTTTTATTTGTCGAAGAAGGAGGGGATAACAACACATTTTCATCAGTGCAAGAACAACCAAAATCATTTTCAGCCTTTGTATCGCCTCTTGAGCTACATGTTCACTGTCAGATTAAAATGCATGCAGCATATGAAAAATTAAATGTCATACTCAGTGTAGAGCAATATACACAAAGCTTAAAAGCTCACGAGGGCTCCTTCAATTTCAGATGCAATACAATCATGTTATAATATTAAATTCAACACTATAATGTTAATAGACTTACCCGAGATAGCCGAGGAACACACACGTGTACGACAGAGCTCCCTGCACCTTCACCGAACTCATCACCACCCGGATGAGCTGTTAAAACATTAAAAAGAAGAATTAACGGACAATCTGACGGGGGAAATAAAAAGTACATTGCAAAAAGATTAGTGCCATCAGTAGGGATGCTCCTATCGCCAATTTTGGGGCCGATCGCCGGAATCAGTATCGGCCGATACCGATCGCCGATCCGATCGAGTGGGCGGGGCCTATGGGGATCTTCCATTTAAAGTGATGTTTACAACTCAGTTAATGGGGCTCATTCACTGGCGCTTCCACACACAACAACCAACATAATTATTACATTCAAATGAAGTACATTATTCAAGTTTACATTAACTTTGGATA